GCCGGCTCCGCCCCCGCCCGGCGCCTGGGGGACGGGGGTGGCAAGAGTCGCCCGCGGCCATTAGGGACCCAGAGGGCGCGGGACAGGTCGCCAGGCCTCAGGGTGGGGAGGGGGGGAGGGAGGGCGACGTCGTGAGATGCAAGCCATGATGGACTGGGATATGGTCCGTGACGTCATAGGTGATTCATGACCTCATGGGAGGGGGTCGGGCTGGCCCACAGATCCCCCCTTCAGTTGGATCTCACTGTGCTGTGCTCAGAAAGGCACCTCCCAGGGCCTTTTAGTGCCAGAGGCTGCAAGACCACTGGGTCAGCAGGGCTCCATCATCCTGCTTCTGGGGGGGGGGGGAAGAACCTCAGCATACGGGTCTCAGCTTCTTGTGGGCATCTGAATCATAAAACCGCCAGGCTTGGGGGCACACCTAGGATGGCTGCCAATGGCTTTGGGAGTAGCTGGAGCCCCCTGGTTGTAGCACCATACATGATGTTTCAAGTGGGTAGGATCCAATTGCTTTATAGGATTTGGAACGGATTTGGCTGATTTGACCTGACACATGAAATATATTTAAAAGAAAAAAAAAAAATCCTGGTTTAGGCAGAGCTGAATGAGCTGCCACAGTTGAAAAGGGGTGGTGGCTGGTGGCTGAATCCAAGCAGCCAGTCCCCATTCTTCCAGGTGTCCCAAGAGCAAGTGGGATTTCTTTTTGGAAACCTGCTCAAGCTTGCAACTGCACTCAGAGAGGTGCCGCAGAAGTGAATACATACATTCTCTTGCGAGTAATCTGAATTTGTTACCCTGCACAGGGGAAGGTGGTAGGTCTTAACACCCTTGAAAAGTGAAACCTGAAGTCTGCAGGTCTTGGTGCAACACGTCAAGGTCCCAGGGGTGGCTGTGACACCCCCTGCTGGCTCTGGGACCGTGCCCTGCTCTGCCCCTAGGGCACCTTCCTGTCTTGCCTGCCATTCTTTGATGGCATTTATAATGTACAGGAATGCTGCCTACAGTCCTTTGATGGGCCTCTGTCCCACTGGACCCCACCAGTCTCTGACTGCAGCCAGGCCCCCTCATTAGGCTTCACTGGTCCTTAGAATGAAGTCCAGTGAAGGGCCTAACCCGCTGTGCCCGGCAGGGCACCCAAAGTCTTAAGGGCTAATTGCGTGGGTCCAAATCCTCCACTTTACCACACCCTATGCCTTGCAGGCATTATGATCATGTTGTTCCCTGTGTGGGGCTTCAGCTTCCTCTCCCATAACCTAGTTAGGCCTTCTAGCCTGGGCCCACTGAATTGGACCTGGCTTTGAGGCTCTAAGCCTAACTTGTCCCTTCTGTCACCAGGCCCCTGCGTGGCTGCACCCTCTCTGCCCACTCTGGGTTCAATAAGTGCTCAAGCCCTGAGCCTGCCCCTGACAGGGCTCAAGGCATTCAAGTGCCCCCTGGGCACTAATAAGGCCTCTGTACCCCACCTTCCAACCTTATCCCAAACAACTGGTACAAACAACAACATAACTTAAGCCCCTGGGCTATAACATAATTATAGCCAAGTAGCAGCCCTCTGTCCCTTTAAAAAGGCAAAGCTTTACCCCAATATAAGGTACCTCACAAGTTCCCTGAGCCTCCCTGTTCCTGTCAGCAGCAGAACAGTAAGCTCAGCATCCTTGGGTAGCTCCACTGAGCAGGAGCTCCTTCTCTTGTGACAGCCAGGGAGAGACTCCCCTACCAGCCCCAGCCTTGGGTTTATATGCTCCCAGGGCCCTGCCTACTTGCTGGCAGCTGACCATCTGCAGGTGCCTGCTGACTGCTTCTTTTTGCCCTGGCAACGGGCAGCTGCTTCGCACTCCCTACCCTGCAGTGCTCCCTGACTGGGCTGCCTTTATTTTCAAGTAACACTTGGGTTTTCTATATTTGAGGTTATTAAAAACTCATACTCTTGAAAGATAACATACTCAAATCTTGGAGAGAAGTCTGCAATGTTAACCTCACCTGAAAAGAATTTTTTGTGTTGATTTTTTTTGTTTCCTCCTGGACAAATACGGAGCATTTATGGAAAATACAACTTAAGAATAGGATGGCCTCAATCAGGATTTAATGCCTGCTGTGTCCAGGGGTAAGACCCAAAAATGGTGAGACACACAAGGGCAACTGAATCGTATACAATTGGCAGATTTTTGTTATTACTATACATGTGAAATAGTCACATTGTAGAATTTTCCTGTTTGAGAGGAATGTGTCCCCTGCAGAAAGGGGCAGAGGGGACAGTACAATTACTTGAGAAATAGGTCAGGTTTTTGATTCCAAAAGGAATCTTTTCTAAAATCAGAATATTTCTTTTACCCTTATCTGTCTTCCTCTAGATAACAAACTGGTAGTGTTTGCTTAAATACCTCACTGAAAAAATGGCAGACAAGGTTCCTTGGGTGAATCTGATACCTTTTATTAGACCAACCCAAATAGTTAGAGAATAGTTATTCAGCAAGCTTTCGGGTTTTCCCCAAAGCTTGCTGAATAACTATTCTCCAACTATTTGGGTTGGTCTAATAAAAGGTATCAGATTTACCCAAGGAACCTTGTCTGCCTATGTCCTTAGACCAACACGGCTACAACCTACACCTCTGCAATCACTGAAAAAATTAAGTTCATTTTGCTGGAAAAGGGTTCTACTGATTTACTGAGGCAAATTACTTACTACTGCACTGGGTTAAGAGAAAATTGGAAGTCTGCTTCAGAAAAAGAAGATCAAGGAAATAGTTGAGTACTCCTTAGGGAAGAACTCTAGGTGCAGCTAAGACTGGGAGGTTTGAAGTAATCTTTGTTATTTTTTTCTTTGCAAATGATGCTAAAAGGAGGTTAAGTTTTGATTTCATATATGTATGACATATTTTAAGAGCAGGATAGGAAAAGCATCTTCCTTACCTCTTTCTTTGCTCATATCCATCTTCTTTTTCTGAATGTCATCTTTCATCCTTTGTTATGCATCTTTCTCTACCATACACCTATTTTCCCCTCTTTCTTTTTCCTTTGCTACCCAAACTAGTTGGAATCTCTTTAGTTCCTACTCTTTATGTTTATTTTTAATTATTTAGAATCATTGGCATTATGACAGTAAAAAGCTATTTCAAACCTTTTTCATATATGCTATATTTATGGTACTCTCAATATTATATTGACATAGGAGCTTGGAGTGAAAATATATTGGATTATTTTCTGAACACAAACCAAATTAAAACGCGAGATGGAGCTGAAATCATCTGGTATCATGCAGCAAACAGTAAATCACAAATGAAAGAAGCAATAAAAAGTAAGTACTATATATACATATTGGAAATTGGATCTATCAGTATCATGATTTCCCACAAATAAAATCGTTTCACACTTCTTTAGGCATAATATGGAGCATTGCATTGTCAAATAAGATTAAAACACAATTAAATTATCTTTTGAGTTGTTTGGAAGGGTGGACTCTTTTGGGCTGTTTGGAGTGAAAATCCTTATTTGTTTTCCTAAGTGAGTTCTTTTGTGTTTATACATGCCAAGAAGCACGCTTGCCAAATGTTAGTGATTAGACTGTTAACCAGTTACATTGTTCTGCAAACCACATTGTCAAACTGTTTGTGTGTAAAGGTTGTTCTTGAAGTTTTGTAAGAACAGGTTAGACGAGTGAATCCACTTATGAATGTGTGTAGCAAACAGGTGAAATCCAGTGACACATTTGTGCTGTTCCTTGTATAGTTACAAAAATGTGTATGTCCAAAGAGAGATCTATGAAAACTAAGTTAAGTGTTTTTGTGGCTATAGGAGCAATTTTGCAGTCTTAATATTGGATCTGTTTCTGTTTCACTTGATATCTGCCAACAATGAAAAGCAATTACTGAAGAATTTTGATTTCACACGTTAAGCATGCCTGGGCCATTCTTGTGATAGAAACAGATAAATATGTCATACCCATCAAAACATTGGAGAATACAGAAACACTTTGCCAAATATTTTCTTCCTTATTCTGAAGTGGCAAGAGTGATACTAGTCTTCTGCTGCAGCCAATTGCAATGTTTGTGAACTATGGAGTGAGTTACATTGCAAAGTGGTTGGCTTAATCTTCCTAAAACAATTTAAGATTCTAAAGATTTTTGCTTTTACATGACCTGATCATTTTTTTATCAACTGGTTTTTAAAATAAGGTCTGAAATAATGTAACATGAATATATTGTATAATCTTTCTTGTACTCTTGTGTTTTATTTTTTTGCCATTCATGGTGCTGTAATTGCCCTTTTTCCATCCAGTGGACTTCAGTCTGACTTGCATAAAACTTGAAAAATGTATTTCATTCCTTCTGGTTCTCTTTGAAAGTATAATTATATCTCAGGTTATAGTTATGTTTTAGGCTTGTCACTTTATATATATTTACAGTAAGACCGTACTTCCTATCAATAGGATTGTCTGACACTTTCCAGTGTAGGAAGCTGTTTTTGATTGCTTGCATCTTTGCCAAATTTTAACTGTTTCTGCTGAAATTTTCTGTGTCAGGTGTCTGCCCGAGACTGAACATTTTTGGAAAGCTTCAGCTCAAAAGTTTGAGCCAGTAAGGACAATGAGGCAAAGGAAGCAGGAGTTATTTTTCCCATGTTAAAATTTTCTAGGGCCTTTCTGTTAAAAGGGATTCACACACTCAAGCCACGAAGAAATGATTTGAAATTTGGCAGGGGGAGTGTCCTTTGAGTCAGGATTTTGCATGTGTCTTCTTGTACAAATCTGTCCAAACTTGGTTAAGTATGTCTTTAAAAATCACTGTTTGCATATGTTAAATGGACACTTCTTTAAGTTTCATAGTTAAAATCTCTGAAGAGTACATTGCCTCATGCACTATCCCTTCATGTGTTGATCAGACTTACATATGCCATCACAGAGGGTAACTGCATAAAGCTATGGAAACTTAGAAGGATCTTCCTTTGATTGCTGCTGTGATATAAATGCTAGAACCATTGGTCATAGTCATGTGGCAACATTCTTTTTTCAAATTAACAGGTGCTGCTCACATGGTAGAAGCAGATGTTCTTCTTCGTGGGTGCAAAACAGAAAAGGGTGAACCAATCATGGCTCATCCTCCTGAAATGAACAGTGACAACACACTCCAGGAGTGGCTACAAGAGATTCTGAACGCTGACAAAGGCATCAAACTGGATTTTAAGAGGTATATAGAAAAGATTATATAGGATATATTATTATAGATTATATATATCAATAGGTTATATAGACTATATATATTAATGATTATAACTGATTGTGTATTGCCGATACTGTCCATTATAGAACAAATTTCTATTTACAAAACTTCTATTAATGGTAGTCTAATGTAATATACAGTGATACAGTATTAGGGTTACTGAAATATATTACTGTTAGAAATGATTAATCCCAATCTGTACCCAAATTTTGCTTTCAGATTAATTATTTTGTACCAGATAGGTATTTTTAAATTGAAAGGTACTAATTTTTATTAATTGATACAGTGAAGCTCTTGGTGCAAAGGTTTTATGATATTTTAGACTGCCTATACTTTTATCATAAGGAATAAACTAATTACTAAATAGTAAATATTGCTCTGTAGTAATTATTGTATATTATGGACAGAGTTGGTAGCATCACTTACAGTTAACACTATCCTTTCTAATATCTAATTTTGTAACTTTGGCAAACCTTAATCACCTAGACTGAAAGTTTTATGTAAAATGTCTGCCTCAGGCTGAATTATTTTAAAGGTTCAGCAAAAGATGGAACTATTTAGGTCATGTGTTAAAAAATGAAACCAGAGCATCTGACATTATAGGCATGTGTAACAAGTGGGTTGTCCCAAGGCTGGTCTAGATGTTGGCCTGCCCACTTGTCTAGGGCAGTCCACCCACCTGCCTCACCTGCCATGCCTTTGATGTATCTTTATGTTGTTCCCAATGGAGCACAATGGAGGCTGCCCATTTAACTGCCCTGATGCCATGGGCATATGCATGGCTCCGAACCTCCCCTTATGCCTCGCAGCTGGCATCCATGTCCACAAACTCCCCCAGCCCCTTAACTGGGCGGCACTTGGCCTAGATTTGGCTTCAGGCATCCTTAGACTGGCTAGGGTTCCCTGTGTCTCACGCTGGGGTTCTCAATCCCTGTGCCCCCTACAATGGAGCTGTCAATCCCACACCCCTGGAGCCTCAACACCCAGCTCCTTCATGAGCCCCAGGCCCCACCCAGTGGATGTGGGCCCTGTGTCAGGTCCCCTTCTCATGGCCTGGACCTCACCTGAGGCTCCACTCAGTGGGCCTTGACCCTGTGCTTTTCTGTTGGGGTGTGCTCCCCTAGCCTTTCCCTTCCACAGGGTAACCCACAAGGCAGCAGGGGCTGAGGTTTTCTGGCACCCCATACATAGCTTTCACTGGGGAGGCACAGATGTGGCATTTCCTGGAAGCTGCCCTGCCACAAGCAGCCCCACCATACCATCCTCCCCAGCAGGGTGTAGTTTTAGGTCACGCCCCAGTACCAGAAACCTCCTCCATCCTCATAGTTCCTGCCCTGTACCTCCAAGCTGTTCTGGGAGCAGCGGCTGACTGGGTGATGTTGCTCTTTCGGCCCCCTACAGCAACTGCCTGCTCTGCTCTGGGGCTTAGCCTTATACCCAGGCTCCCAGCCCTCTCCACCAATCAGGCGGCCTCCTGCCTAACATGTGACCACCTGATTGGACCTGCCCCCACCTTCAGGCTACTTACTGCCTGCTCAGACCCCTTAAAATAACAGGCACAACCTGTGCTCTGTCACAGCGTGTTATTGGATAACTAGAGGAGCATGCAAAGTAGGGTAGTTAGAAGAATGCTTCCATCACATATTATTAAAATTACAGAAAACATAAAGCCTAGAATAGATAAGGATGGCACAGAAAGAATTCAGGTTGAGGTGAAACAAGGTTTTCACCCAAAACTAGCTAGTATACTCAATGACCTTGGCCTTAATCTCTCTTTGCTTGAGTTCCCACCTATAAAGTGAGGATAATAATACTACTTCACTGTACAAGGGTATTCTGAAGATCAGTTGATTAATGTTTGTGAAGAACCAAAATACTATGGTGACAGTACCATAGAAACACTCTGGAGGAAATTAATGATTTTGTATTCAATGCAGGGGTTGGATTGTGTGCATTGAATAAAGCCTAGGTTCACATGCTGAATGAGAACAAAAAAAATTGATTACATGTTCAGTGAACAGTTGCTCATTCTATTTACTGAATGAGGCATGGCTTCTATTGAAAAATGTATAGTTCTGTAATTAAAGCCCTTTCACATAATGCATATACATAATTTTACCTTAGTGGAGACACAATCTTCATAGTCTCTTTTTATTTTATCTTTTCTGCCTATTTCTGATTGAGGGTGGGGAAAAGAGGAATTTTGGTCAGTTTCTGTTTAGCTGCCTTTTTGAAAAATGGAATTTAAAATAAATCTTAAGAAATCAACAGACATTATACCAAACTTTTTTATTTTTTAAAACTATAATACTTAGGTCAGATTTCACAAACTCTTTGGCCTTGAATGTAGTTTTTCTTACCTAAAACAAAGTTCACAGAATATTCCTGATTCTTACATGTAGAAAGGATTGACTAATTAAACCACATATTTTAACTGGGCTTTAAACCTGCAAGCAGGAAACTTTAATTTAAATAATAAAATGTAATTTTGTTTTGCATATGTTCTTTTTAGTAATTTTCCTAAAGGAAGTTTGATTCTTACTGTTTGGCAATCACTAGACCATTTTGTTTTGCAGCTAAATATAGTGTATTTAATGCACATAATACCTAATGGCTATATTTAGGGCCTCTTTTGTTAACCAGAAGAATGCGCTATGTTGCTACTGTAGGTGTTGTAGAGCTTTGGCCCCTTCTTGATAGGTGCCTTGCTCCCAAGCAACGTCAGGGTGAGATCAGGCTCTGGTGCTACCTAGATGGTGTGGGTGCTGCTCCTACTCGCCTGCCACGTCTTCGATCTTCTTTATTGGGGAGTGTGGAGCCTGTGCCCCGCTCCACCTGGTCTATTGGGGTGTTGCCCCTCCCCTCAACTCGCCTGCCACGACTTGGATGTAAATATATACCTTAAGAGGGGTCTACAGTGGAGAACTTTATCCTGGGTGGGGCCTCCCAATAGACGGTGTTACTCATGGTTGTCTGACGCGGTGGTCCACGGGGCTCCGCCTCCCCTACACCCCATCCACGTGCCAACCGCTGGGTGATGCGTTCAAGATGTTTCCAGGCCTTGTATGACGGCCTCAGACCGGTTCTCCAGTTTCCGGTCGTTCTCCCTCCTTCTGGGAGCGATTCCTCCTTTCTCCTCTTTTACAGGAAATACTCCTCCGAGTTAGGAGGAGCTGCAGGGTGATTCCCCTGGTTCCAGCTCCCTCTTAGAGCGCTTCCTCCCCTCCCCTACCAACAGCAGGCCGCTCCCCTGCCTCCTGAGTGTCAGCCACTCCAGGAGACTGAGAGAGTGCCTCAGCTTGCACTCTCTGTCTGCCTTCTGCTCTGCCTCCCGTAGAAGGCTTACAGCTCTCTGTTAAGCTGCCTGCTTGAGACCTGCAGGCTGGGTCCTCTCCTCTCCGTGCCCGAGCTCGCAACACGAGCAACCCACCCGTACTCTCTCTCTTCGGCTCCCCCTCTCTCCCTGTTCTGCCGGCGTTTTTAAACTTTCCCGCAGCTGCCGCTACGGCCGCTGGGATTGGCTCAGCTGTTCCCCGCGCCGGGAACAGCTGTTGCCACAGCCGGCATAATGGTGGTTTGCGTGGCTGCAGCCGCGAACGCGGCTCCTGCTCCCGCTGCTCTTCAGCAGGTACGTACGCCCCTCTGGGGGCTTGCTCTCGGGGTCTGGGGTCTGCGGGTCCTCCTTTCTCTCCCTCGAGAGCCTGTGGGGGCACTTCACCACCACAGGGAGGCCGTTCCCTTCAGGTGGCCCCCAAAGCAAAGAGGTCTCAACCCCGGTCTTTCTTTGTGGGCCTCCAAACCTTCCCTTTACCCCACCCTTACCACATCCACAGCCTGGGCAAACGCTGCGCCCTGCAGGTCTTCCCCTGGATGATCTCTTCTCATCCAGACCGCCCACCATGGAATGGGTTGGGCCTTCTCAGTCAGCACAGTCTTCCCCATGGCCGGTCCCTCAACTTTGGGCCTGCTTGGGTATCTAAACCTGCCCCAGCTTGGGGCTAACTGGAACTAAAAATGAATTCAACAGAAAATATCCAGCCTCTGCCGTCGGACCCCTGGGATCCTGTCTCCCAGTGCCTGCTTGGTCACTCAGTGGTGTGTGGGGAAGAGAAGAAGGGGAACTCGCCCATCCCTTCCCTCCTAGTAGTTGTGGGGTGGGCAGCCGCCCCATGCCCCACCCTGATCCGTCTTCCCAGCATGACTGCTTCTGGGTCCCAGCTGACCTGTGGTCAATCTCCTGTTCCTCCTGAGCTGGTGGGGCTCATAGTTCCTACACTGGGATGTGTCTTCCTCCCTGCCAGGCTGCCTGTGAGGGCTAGCAGCTCCCTGCCGCCATCCCCAGCCACCATACCTGGGTTCCCTAATGGGGCTGCGATGTTGCTCCCAGGCGTCCCTTGGCCCCCTAGGCTTGAGCTCCTTGTCCAGTCTGTTGGAGCCCTCCAGCAGACATTTTGCTCTGTTTCCCTGCACTCCCGGCTTGTGATCCTTGGCTCTGCAGATGGCATCTCCTGGCCGGTGTCCTGCTCTTCCCCCGCCAGCCGCTCAGCTGTGCTCCCAGCTGCTTTTTGAGCAGGCTGTCTCTCTCTGAAGCTTTGCCCCCATCGATTGCCGACACGAGGCTCAGGCAGCTCCGGAATTGTGATGCCTGCGTCCGTGTTTCTCCCCGGCTGCTGCTCCTTTGGACTCCTGCGGTAAGTATCGGGGTGCGTGGGGCAGGGGTCTGGGACACACTAGAGGGGCTTTTACTGCCCCTCTCACAGCTACACATTTTATTTAAACAATTTTATAGTTTAACCTATGTACCGGTATATTCATATTTTTAATATTTTCTATTTTCATTTTGTTGGATTGTTATTTCTTTTTTACTTCTGAGGTGTGTCAAGCAGTATTAGGATGGAAATTATATTAAACTAAAATGGATAAAATAGCTTATTTTATTAGTCAAATAAAACCAGTTCAAAAGTGTT